CACTCACTTGAAGTCGACCTGAAAATGGACGGCCAAGGTGACGTTTCGTAAATCTTCTACCTCCTAAGCGACTACTGAGTGCAGGGAAATTTTGGGACGAACGATTAACTTTCTGATTGACGATTTTTCGATTATATTTTGTCACTTTCAATGAATATACAGATCGTGTTTTGCCTCTTCTTCCGTCGCCACTCATAACGAGACCATTATTACCTCCACCAGAACCGTTATTACCTAAATTCCCACCTCCTCCCGTCCCGCGTCGTCGTCCAGCAAACCAATCTGCATCACCGCCAACGTCATCATCATCCATGTCTTCTCCCAACTCGCCATCATAATCCTCTACGTCATAGTCCCGGTTTTGATTATCATCATCTTCAGATACATTATCTAAATCGTAGGTTTTAGTATAATCTGATTTATTTGGCATTATATGATTATTATTGCTATGCTGTGTATCCTGACAATCATCTTGTAAATCTCTACAATCGGATATATTGACATTATCAGAAGTTGTCCTATGACTTTTGTTTGTACGTTTAGTCATTGTCAACATTCCATCAAACGATTGTGTACTATCATCACCAGTGATGCCACCAAAAAAGCCTGGAGTATTCGACGCCGATCCTCCAATTCGACCATTTAAAAAGCATACACTATCCTGACTTCGATCACTAACAATATAATCATGTTCTTCATCATCGTGTAACATGGATGTTATTATTGCTGAGTTGATCATTGGATCATGAGAATAATCACCATGATTGTCATAAAGTATTTTTCGTTGGAACGAACTCGAGTGGACGTTGGAATTGTTTGTTCCAACAAAACCTGTGTGCTGTAATCGGTTAGTTGTACCGGTAGAAATGGTTAAGTTACTACTACTATTATTAGCATTATTTCCTGTTGTATGACTGACAGACACTCGAGGATTTAGAACATCCAAGTAGTTAGCTAAACTTGATGGTATTGAGAGACCAGCTATAGCATAAGCTTTTCTTGTAACAACAGGAACTAAACAGTTTGGAAGAAAACAGAAATAAACTGTATAACACTAAATCGTGTTATATAATTATATATAGGTATATCGACAGACTATTAGTTATAAATATCGATTTTTGAGGCCCACATCAAATACTTATGTTAAGGCATCCGAGTAGTAGCAAACTAACCGTCAAACCTAAGTCTGTGAACGTGATAAAAAAATTCATGTTATTTACATAATGCTGCCAGTGAAACAGGAAAATACATGTTTACTCGTTTTATTTATCGTCTTGAGAATCGACTTCTTGAGGCTTCAGAATAGCATTTAAATGCTGCCTTTAGATTACTTATTCAACAAACGACATTTGGTATTAGATAACTGACTAGCCAATAAATAGTATAATTCAAATAATAACCTATTATCCACACCATTTTTGTACAATTTCAATGGTTATTATATTAGTAAAGCGTATCTGTACCAGAAAATAGCAAAAAATTGTTCTGTACAAAGTTAAACATGTACACCGCTAGATACCGGCTCAGAAATTGTGTTTGTGGGCGAAGTCGGAGGTCTTAAGTTTGATCGTCAGTGGAGAAATAGTGGATACTCACTGTCATTAAGTCCTATACTAGAATGAAACAGCTATCCAGTTCATCTAAATCTCCAATAACTGTCTAAATTAAGTTGTTTGGTAATTTTATTAATGTTCAGTTACAGGTAATCCATAGATGATACAGAAAAAACTGAAACGCGACAGATAAAAATGGAATTATATGTACTATAGAAATGGAGCAGAAAACAGTCAATCAATCTATTGGATTGTAGCTAGCAGTGCGATACAAGATATGCATTTTGTACAACTTCAAATTAGTCATCTGAATATACCTGCATCTACATAGTTGACATTCACACTAAGACTTAAACTCAGTGGGTATCGTTTCAAACGTTAACACGTTATCCACTGATTTAGTGAGTCCAGATAACCATCAACTTGTTCAACTGATCGGTATTCATAAATATTTGAAAATCCCCATTATTGACATTCGGAGTTGAGTCCGATAAATCTCTATTGCCAAGTAATAATATAATACTTGTTGATTGATATTAAATACAATTAACCAATGATTTAATACATCAAATTTGCTTCAAAAAAATAATAGAACATGCAAATGACCTTCCATGACATTTATTCAGAGAACAGCAATAATAGCAAAATTTACCTAAGTCAGACGAGACTCCCAGAGCTTTCAATCCATTCTGTAACGTACACCAAAGTTTTTGATTAGCTGTCTTACGCTTCTTATGGGGTGACTGGTAGTCCAAATGCCAACGATAACGAGGAAAACGTAAGTAAACATGTGGATCTTTGGATGGTGATTCTGTAAATAAATCAATTGGAATAAAACGATGCAAGCCTATATACAGAGAAGGTATATTAAAAGGAATAACTTAGGTCTACACAGTATGTTCAATAAATAGGCGAATCGATATTATGAGAAGTTTATTGAACACGATTCCAGAGTACCTCAATCGTACCCCCTTTAAAATGTCGAACATTTTTGGCGATACGCTTGTTTTGCACCAGTTTCCATTGCTCAAAACAGCCTTGAAAGTCCTCAGAGGTCAAACGTATTAGCTCTATCGTCAATTGTAAGTTTTCAATGAAATTCAAGTGATCACTGTACATGGAGGTGAGATAATGAAGAGAACAGACGTTTTTAATTGGATCAAGGCATTTCAGTGGGGACTGGAATGATAATCCAAGGTCAGGAAAACATTTGATTATATAGTCTGACTTCTGAAGACTTTTAAGGATGCTCTGAAGAGAGAAAACTCAGATTGGATTTCAGTCCGTGTATTTATTCGAAAGACTACATACAACAGTAAAGATACTTAGCTTACCTCTTAAATATTCCCTGTTTGTATGATATAACCATGGAGCTGGTCGTTGAGATATATGAGTTGCTAAATCCAAAAATGGTAATCGAGAATAACGAGTTTTGCATAAATTACGATTGAATGCACAAGTATCAGAAACAACAGCAAAATAAGTGGCACGATCAGTTAATTTGCTCAAAATTGTATTCGTTGTTGCATTATTATTATTATTATTAATACTAGTAGTAGTGGTGGTAGACGAAGAAGTATTGGTAATGGCTGTAGGAATATTAGTGACATTTGTTTTCGTTGTTGTTATAGTCGTTGTATGAATAGCAGTACAGTTTATTGTTGTTGTAAAATTAATAGATGTAACGGAATGATTCCCCGTTGATGTCAATGTATTGGAGTTCATGAAGATATATTATAGAATTACGCCAAAAAATTGGCATCCAGTAAAAGAATATTATTATTAATAACACAATGAACAAATAATCATTGCCAACAGGACTTCATTGGCGCACTAAAAAATTTTTTTAAATAAACAAATAAAGATTTATATCAGAAGGGGTTTTGTGGATATTATAGTGATTTCAATAGTTGAGATCATGAGTTAGTTGAAGCTAGACCACCATGGAAAACCTGGAAACATTGTACGGCCGTTTCGTGCTACTTTTGGACACCTTAGTAGTGCGCATCCACGACCACTCCCCATCTAGTGGTAAGGCGCTCGCTCGCGAGACTGATAGGTCCTGGGTTCGAATCTCGCGAGGCGGGATCGTGAATGCGCACTGCCGAGGAGTCTCACGATAGGACAAAACGGCCATCCAATGCTTTCAGGTTTTCCATGGTGATCTAGTTTCAACTGACTCATGAACTCCACCATTGAAATAAATAGAGATTTCACTGTAAAAATAATAAGAAAAATTAATATTTACAAAAATATTTTTTATAATACATTAATTAATCAATTCAATTAGTCATTACAATAATGTATTTTTAACAAACTACTTAAATGATTCAAAGCTTGAAGTAGTTTAAAATCAAATAAAAAAAGTTGATCCAAGAACTGTGTTGAATAAATGTTAGTGTTTTCATGCTGTTGGAAACAAATTACATTTATCACGTACATTATTTATTGGTATATATGAATAGAATTTAACTTCACTCGTTAGCAGTTGATCAACATCTATCTGGTATAAATGTATTGCATTCATTGACTCAAAATTCCTATTTAGTCACATGTTTTTGTTAAAGTTGGATAATATATAACAAGCGCACTCAACTGACAAGTCTCAAATAGGACGAAACACTGGTTTTTAATATCACTGCTACCTACTATATATACATTCCACACCTAGAAAGACGCATAATTAAAGTTTTGTATCAAATAACATTAAGATTATATACAGATCATGAATGATTCTTGTTTCAAACTTCATCTCCACACAGAAGTGGATCAAACGAATATTACATTGAATTGAGTAATATTGAGCAAGAATGACAATGAATTAAAGATGTAATTTTGCTTCTTTTTTTAATTCTATCATATCAAATAATAATTAAACAAAGTAGAAAGAATAAAATGAGGATGGAAACTAAACATCTCTTAATGTGAAATACAGCAAATCTGTTTTTCAACAAAACACAAAGCCACACACACACAAAAACAGAATAAATAGACAAGATATGAAGCAACTTTAATCTCATAGTTTAAAGGAAGACAAAGAGTGTGTACACCGGAGTTATTGTGATCGATTCTCCAAACATTGGTTACGATTGTCGTGAGGACCCCAACCAAGTAAGTCTGCATCTAACCAACATGGTTCAGACTAGAAGTTAGTGACTTCAAGCACTGATGCCACGTTTTGGTTTAGCCGCTCCTAACTTTCTTCCAACCATCCCCAACACTAGTCAACATTGCAATCATTACAGTCATTCATTGAAAACAAACAATATCAAAAACAATAGATTGATTAAAATAATGTAAGTAAAAAGAAAAGAAATAATGAAGTGAAAATTTATTTATTTATAATAAAATAAAGAATTACTATACATTGTATTTATCTAATATATATATATATATATATATATATATATATATATATATATATATATATATATATATATATATAGTTTAGCTTCCTGCTTTTTTCAATGAACGTATTTTGCGTAATTCACGATATAAAACATTTTGTTGAACAAGTGGATCAAATGCTATTTTCTCTTTACGATTAGTAGCTAGACGTGGTCGAAAACCAACTATACAATGTCCTGAACCACTAGTACTTTCTAATAATACCATAACAGTTTTTATAAATCCTTGTGATATTGACATAAGATATAAATATGTATACTTGTTCTGTGTTATTTATATTGAGTAATCTTCGTTGATATTATGTAATGATCTGTAATTAATAAAAATATTGAAAATACATGAATAATAATAATAATAGTAAATTAAAATGTTGTTTCGTGTTATGTTTATAAATTAAATAGAAAGTACAAGACTATTTCTCAGAGACTAGACTTTCCAACTATACAAGAAAAACAAATGAAAATGATATTTATGATAATGGAACAGACTATAGAAATATACTTACTTAGTTACTAAACAGAGAAAAAAATAAACGATAGATTGACGAGAAGAGCAAGAACAAAGATTCTAGTAGAATAGCATGAGTTTTGTTTCAATTATCTTTCAAATTAATAATCTTATTTTATCAACTGAGCTCTACTCACTAGATTCCTATCAATATTTATTCATTATGTAATCACTTGTTTCTAGCCATTTGAACTGTTGTCACAATCAATGTTGTGTGAATGCCTTTTACATAAGGTACAATATTCAGTCTAATAAATTTATTTACACCTCTGCTATACTATAGGAATGTCTTCAACAGAACTTCCAACCAAACGCTCTCATGTAAGTAGTTTAAACCCATTATGTAATGATGGTTTTAAATATCACAGGTTGTAAGCAGTTGATGAGAATCAGACAAAATAAAATGAATTCATGCTATTCTGCTAAAATGTTTGTTCTTGCTCTTTTCAAAATGATAAAGGAAACTATGTGTATGAGACTGAGGAAAAATGATTTCTAACATTGTGTACAATTTTTTTATTTGAATTTATGGATAAAATGCGTATCATTAATCCCGACGCCATTTACTGTCACAGTAATATCATTACGTTGAAAACAAAGAATTTCGATCAATTTTAATGAAGAAGCTTATAGGTCAATAAAGACTATTTATACTTTGATGGAGTTTTATTCTATGAGGTGGATACATCCAGCTGAGCTACTAAATCTTCTCCACCATCTCAAGATTATTTATATATTGAACTCTGAATATTAACAAAGAGGCATATATAAACTCAAACAATAAAAAAAGATGTTTATGGAAATGGTGTCTTAAAAGTATTTCTCATACCCCTATAAGAGAAATTTGGTACTTTATTTTAGAATAATAATACATGGTCTTATCTAAATTCTAGAAAATATTTCCAACATAATCTTTATAATATTCACAAAAATTTTATAAGTTTAAGTAGACTTTTTTTGTTAACTGTAAGAAAGAATCATTGAATTATTACCGTAATCTAAATGTAATTCATTGATTAAGTAAACATTTATGTACTCAACTTAGTTTATGAGAATGCTATTTTGATACTACACTTTTGATACTTTCAGGTTGTTGTTGTTGTTATTGTTGTTTTTGTTTTTTTTCCATTAAAGTTTTATCATTACGTAATACAAAATACTAGAATGAAATTTAGAATTGAATAGGTGAAATAATTATAAATTTCAATGATTTCAGTTTAAGCAAACAAATGTACTTTATTTGCTTGAACATTTGTATAGCTAGAAAATAGCCTCTTGTTTTAATTGAACTAAGAAGATTGTTAACATTGATAATGATATGAAAGTACATCCAATTGACCAGTTTCATATAGGATGAAATGTACATTCTAAAATCTATTTGTCAAGGTTATCTGGTCAACACTGACAAATAAGTAACCTATATTGATCGACAAAATTATGTTGTGAACATTGCATAATTATATACAAAAATTTATACAGGATAATACAATATGAAGAAAAAAGAAACCTTAAAAATTGTTCACCCTGTCTTATTAACAAACGCTAATATCTAATAATTACTGATAAACACAATAAACATTAGTGAGAATTTATCATAAAACAAAAAAATTCAACTCACATAACAAACAACATACATACTGAACCATAAAGGTAAAATAACACAACAACAACATGAAATGTTTAATATCCATTGTAAATTAAAGAGAACACATAATCTTGTTTGTTTGTTTTCTCAATAAAACTATATTTCTTAACGATGACAAGGTGTTATATTTATTGACAAATTAAAATGTGTACATATAAGTAAACAGTAACATTCCTCCTAATCATATTTTTTCGTTTCATAAACTTATAAATAATAATGACAATATGACATTGGAACATTGAACGCAGGTGGGGGGAGGTACTCTCCAACAGTAAAACAATCGAAAGACACAATAACATACTGGTATATATATAAAGAGTGCAGTTTAGGTTGTAGTAACAATAATTATTATTATTATTGCTAATATCAATTGAATAAATATGAAAAGTCATATATCTCTATGGGCATCTCATCCACATTTCATTTTCATTGAACCGATGATCCTAAATAAAAGTACATGATCAATAATGACAATAATAGAGATAGAAATAAGAATTAAAAAAAACAATCATACAGTAATTAAACAACACAAATGGAACATTCAACCTTTGAATGAAAATCACTTTTTGAAAGAAAAGAAAACCATTTGTCACATTTTGATAAAAAAAGATTTTTCAAAATAAAATTAATTTTTAGAAGACGAGGAAAAAGAAGAAGAAGAAGAAGAAGAGTAAGAAGTACAATTATCTCATCTAAATGAAAATGTTGTTTGAAAGGAATAGCTATTGTACATATACAGTTATCCTATGGTTATAATATTAGTGGTTACAATTGCAGATTAATACAAAAAGATCAAATTCAATTAACAAGAGCAGTAAGTATTACAATAAGGTTAGAAATCCCAAAGATATGTTAAAACACTACTATATATATATATATATATATATATATATATATATATATATATATATATATATATATATAGATTAAAAAATTAACCATAGAATAAGTTCTGTACAACATTAAAGACTTTTAACGTTCTTGTATAAACAAAGTATCTTTGGTGCACAGACCGGCAACTGTCAAAGAAATTGATTGATGCATTGATGAAAGACATAGATTAGGATGAATACGAACAATTTCATATCTATTAATTGGATAACCACGATATTCAAAGTATGAATGTAGATCCTAATTTATAATGTATATTAAAAGAAAAGAAAATTAATAACTGGAAAACAACAACATATTGCATAATAAACATCATTCATTATGTAATAATAATAATAATAATAATAATAATGATAGTATTATTAGTAGTAGTATAGTTTAGTTGATAAGTATAAATGATTAAAATACACTAGAAATGTGAAAGTAAATAATAATAAAAAGGATGACAATACTGGTGAAATGGGAGTCAGTCAGTCAGCTACAACGTAGGACCAGGCACATATGTGCATCGGTCCACGTTGCCATACCGCATCAGCACAACAAGATGAACACCGGATTCACAGCAGTGGTTAGGTCAAAGGTAGTAATATGTAAGAGAAAGATTGCATATAGAGATATAGTACAAGAAGAAAGAATTGGTTCGTAGAAAGAAAGATATGAAGTGATTTTAATCTCTTAGTTTAAGGGAAGACAGGGAGTGTATACACCGACGCCATTGTGATCGATTCTGAGCCATGTCACCAAGAGTCTCCAACCATTGGTTACGATAGTCACGCGGACCCCAACCAAGTAGTCTGCATCTACCAACATGGCTCAGACTACAAGTTAGTGTCTTCAAGCACTGATGCCACGTTTTGGTTTGGCCGCCCCTAACTTTCTTCCAACCATCTCCAATACCGGATAGCATTGCAAGTCGTGGTAATCGGTGTTCAGGCATACGTAACACGTGGCCCAACCATCTCAGTCGATGAAGATTCATAACCTCATCAACTGATTTACCATCATTCCCTAATACCCTGCGTCTAACCTCACTATTACTTACCCGGTGATACCAGCAGATGCCAGCAATATTTCTGAGGCATCTGTGGTCAAATACTAATAGCTTACGAGTGTCTTCTACTCTTAATGGCCATGTTTCGCTGCCGTAAATTAAAACAGAACGGACTGCCGCGCAGTATACTCGTCCTTTTATTGATAGACGGATATCTCGCCTTCGCCATAGGTGACGCAAGTTGGCAAAAGTCAATCGAGCTTTTCGAATCCGTGCTGAGATTTCGTCCGATACCAACCCATTAGGGCTGATCAGACTTCCAAGATAAGTGAAGTTGTCGACGCGTTCGACTACTTCACTCCCTATCCTTAGTTCAGGTGTTAACGCAGACCAGTCCTGAAGCAACAACTTGCATTTAGAGGGAGAGAAGCGCATTCCAAACATCCTGGCATTGTTGCTCAGTGCTACCAGAAGACTGCATTTTGTCAGCGTCTTCACCAAACAGAACTATGTCATCTGCGTATTCTAAGTCGATAAGTGGACCTCCTGGATGGAGATCAATACCCGAGAACTCAGTCGATGATAAAGTTATTCCCATCAGTAGATCTATGATGAAGTTAAACAAAAATGGGGAAAGTGGACAGCCTTGACGGACACCACTTGAGGTTGCAAAAGTAGATGACAGTTCGCCATAAGCTCTGACTCGACTAGTAGTGTTCGAGTAAAGAGCCTTTACAAGGTTTATGTACTTCTGGGGTACACCTTTCAATGACAGACACTGCCACAGAATCTCGCGGTCTACCGAGTCAAATGCTGCTTTTAAGTCAAGAAAGACTACCATTGTCGGATGCCGATAAGTATCCCTGTGTTCTAGAATCTGACGAATGGTGAATATGTGGTCGATGCAGCCACGACCAGGTCTAAAGCCAGCTTGGTTCTCTCGTGTTTGCAGTTCACGAGTCTTAGTTAGGCGTCTGATAATTATCGAGGCTAGTATTTTAGATATTATATTAGTTAAACTAATCCCTCTGTGGTTGTCACAGGATGATTTTGACCCTTTCTTATATATTGGGACGATAAGTGATTGTGACCAGTTAGATGGAATAACGTCTAACTCCCAGATCTTAGCTAAAATATTAGTCAACCTAATCGCTAAAATTGGACCACCATCCTTAAAGACCTCTGGAGCCAGTCCATCTGGACCAG